TCTCAGGTGTTCATCTATTATTAACTATGATTGTCAAATAGTTATTTACTCTATATTTTTTTGTTGTCGATTATTAAGTTGATAATACTTATCTATGACTTCTTCAATAAATTAACTAATTTGTAAACAATTATGTATTCACAATAATATAGACATTGAGGTCTGATATGGAAGACTGATTTCATTTTGTTAATTCTACCTTATACTATTTGTGGTCATAAAAAATAGCGATATTTCTTCCTGCTTTTTTCTTCTGTGTAGTCTACAAACATCCTTGCATTCAATACCATAAGTGACCTTGACAATCATTTGTAAATAAGAATAAAGCGATGACAAACAACATCACGTTCGTGTTTGACGTATTTTTCTCAATTCTATTAACTCAATCCCATGGACTGAAACAGTAATAACATTTTATACGTGTTCGTTGTAGTTGATGACATCAACAGTTTTTTTTCTATTTTCGTGTTTTTATTCATTTCCTATCTATGTATAGAATGAATATGAAGTTGATTTGTGTGATTTCGGGAAGTAATTAAATACAATTTTGCATTAATATTACATTTGTAAAGCTACCTTTAATTTATTTCAATTAAAATGTCAAGTTTTAAAAAGTACACGAAATAAAATGAATTCACTGCAACTTGCCACTGATCCATCCAACCAATATGTTGATTATTCACTTGGTTTACAACAACAATGACATGGTAGGGAAGATTTACGACTGAAAAGGTTAATTTTGATGGAATCGTATTCTCCAAACCTAATACTCTAATTATGAAGTGTTTTATTGTTTTCCTAAGCAATAAACTTCAGAGAAAGCAACTCCACTAACTTATTGATAACAGTAATAATAATCAGCATAGGTTTATCATTTAAGCAATTTTAACTTATACTTTTCAACAAAAATTACCGTCCAATTTAATTTTGATATCAGTGTTCAGTTTCAAGTGATTTATATTTCATTTCTTTGGATCAGAGTAATAGAATATCATGTAAAGTGTCAGTTCAGACTAACTTAACGTTGATTAAGTGTGAAACTCTAATGTAAAAACCAATATTAGTGATAATAACAACAGTAATCATAATAATCATATTAATAAATTATGTGTGAAAGTCATATTTGGAACAAATACCACCCATTGAAACGTAATCGATTTCACAATTATAAATCCAAATTAATGGTTCATAAAATTGGTCACGTTTAAAGCAGAGTACATCATTTAAAACTGTAACATGTGAATCAAGGATTGTTTGTCATATAAAATTAAATCAAATCAAACTGTTGATTTCGATAGTGTAATAAGAAGACGAACATTATCAGAACTATGTGACCATATATTGGAGCAATACATTTCGAACACTCTGATCACACACAATATGCTTGTTATAAACATTTATATATAAAAATAAAAAGATAAGTTTGGGATACCATACCATTGTTATTATTATAAATTTTATTATTATTACTAGACTTGCTAGCCGTTTGATAAATTTAGTAAGCATCCACCCCTATCTACTAATCCTTGCCTAATTCGCATTATTCTATATATTATGTATATTGTGTGCGGCTAGATTGTTCGATATGTATTGCTGTAATATATCATAACATAGTTCTGATAATTTTAGTCTTCTTATCACACTATCGAAATTAACGATTCGATTTGATTTAATTTTATATCACAAACAATCCTTCATTCATGTGTTACAAATGCCCTGGTACGGCCGAAAGTGGGGAGAGTCAGCTCTCCCTCACCAAATGCTCTCATATGGTCACGCGCATACAATCACTGACAAGGAAGTCCTACTCCCTGCCCTCTTAAGGTAGAGGTATTTTTTAAAAAATGAAGGGACGAAAAGCGAATGTCTACTGCTTTAACTGGGTCGGTGGACACGGACGGTCCACCTTAGGGAGTTGGAAGACCCTGATTCCAAACCGACATTACACATGGGCTGCAGGATTGTGGGGGGAAAATGGCGTTACAATAAGTGAAGATATAAATTGTAACAGAAATAAGATTATCTATAGCCTATTTTTGTTTATCGAACTAAGCTAGGGTGAGATTGGGTTAAAAATTTATAAGTGTTTACTAATATTAGAAGTATCATTGGACTATTAGGCGGTTGGGAGCAGTCAGTAGAAAACGTTGTTTCACTCAGGTTTTTACTATTTTGCATTAGTGAGTAGGACGTGCCTGTAATATTTACGGAACTGATGCTGTTTATGGGACAAAAACACGTGTCATCGCAACTTGGTCATTAATCCAGGAGACCGAACATAGAGTGAAACACCTAACGTAGCATAGTTCAGATGATGTTCAGTCACTTAGATTAGCCACGGTGTAATAACTACTAAGTGCATTCATTGAAGAAGAATACAAAAACGAAGACATGGTATCACTTACGGAAGCCACGCTAAGGAAGGACAGATTTTATAGTAGACTTGTACGTGATGTTTGCAATTTACAGTCCAAGACGCTCTGTAACATGACAGGAAATCAGTAACAGTTTATGAAGCCACATTCAATCACTTTTTCTCCTTTTCAGTCATTCTGTTAGATAAATATCTTTCTTGCATTTAGCTTTTCACTTACATTTGACATTATTTCCCCATCTTTTGTCTTGCATAATCACGACTTATCCATTTGCTCATTGATTGGCTAGTGCAAGTATGATATCAAAATCTCAAGGTCACTTCGAGAGTCACTTAAAATTGACAATGTGGTTAGTGTAGTAACAATATAGTAAATCACTTCATTTAATAACCGTTTTTCATTAAGAAATCATAAGCCAAAATATTTCTAAGAGATTAGTTGAAGCCATGGATCACATAACTAAATAACAGTCGAATACACTCAACAATAATATTACTTAGTGAATAATCAGTAATCATGAATTATGAGTAATGTGCTCATTAATCTCAGGTTTTTGATTATTAGAAAAAAAAGGAGCTTAATTACTGTGAAAAATTAACAGATTAATTATTGGAACTAAGACAGTGATGAATTATGCAGTTAATGAATGTCGAAATGTTTCTTCGAAAATCAACTTTAACAAGATGAAATCACACCGGTTGTTTCTTATTACTTAAACAGATATTTATCATTATAACTAATGAAATAATTTCAGAGGATGATTTTTTGTAACTAAATGAACATTAATTTCAGTTCTATTGTAATTTTAACTTCTTTTAAATGTCATTACAAGCACCATTCATCTCTTTCTTCTTCTTCTTCATCAATAAAACGAAGATTCCATATGTAATTCACTGACTTAAATAGTGTGATTTCAACGGATATTTACACTCATTACATTTCGAACAGACTATAATTAATTTCTGAAGAAGTTTCATTATTATTGACCAAAATAGTATTATTCTTCTGGGTCGTATATATATATAATATAGAAAGGCCTAGTTTATTTTGATGGTACTTGCTAGACAAAATGTCATGACTTAGAAATACTGTTTAATAATTCATTATTTTACCAATGCCAAAGTAATTATTTCATTGGTTAGTATTGATATGACTGTTTTTTTTCAACAGAATGCAGTTAATTTAATGAAAATGAAATGTAGCAAAGATATAGCTTGTGATTTGATTTCAATTGTTGATTTAGCATTCTACACTGACCTTTTACCGGGTAGTATGCTGACAGAATTTTATCGTACAACTTTACCTACATCAGTGCGAAAATTGAGGAGGAGTCTCCCTTCCCTGTGATAGGATTTATGCCAGTGTGTATGCCATGGGACCTATGGGTCCCCAGGTTATTTATTTTAGGCAAGCATGTAACATATACTTAGTAAAAAATTCCACAAAAACAGCTGTCACACTTTGATGGCGATGTCATGAGTAAATCCAGATAAGTCAATCGGCTTCACCAACCAGGTTTCTCTATTCTGTATAACTGAAGGGGTACTACTGAACATTTCGGACAATGATAGGACTTAAGTTCGACTGGGTTATTAACATTGATGTTAAGTATTCTATTATTATCGATTGAGAAGTAAGCTTTCAAAATTTTGCTGAATATAAATCATCAGCCAAGTACTTTAGGCTAGTATTCTTTTTTAGATCACGGTACTTCATGTGAGGGATAACAGTATCGAAATCTCCATTAGAGTTTGAACGTGTGGCTCAATATTTAAAAATGAGTTTATGGTGGACTTTGTCGGGAGCCTTTCGATAATTTTTGATAAATTCATCAGAAGCTAAGAAATCTCTAAAGAATATTTGGATCATTCTGGAATTTTTAGAATCCCTAACGAATATCTATAATTACTAATTGTTGGTTTTAGCATTTTTTTCCGGAAGGTACCATAATCTCCAGATAGTAAGTAATAATAAGAAACTCCCGTTTTCCGTACATATTCTGACCTTCGAGCATAGACTAGCTGTTTATACTTAGTGCTAAGCTGAGCTATCGTTATACGTCAAAAGTAATTTAAAAATACTGCCAAATAGATGACGTACCCTATCTGGTTTCACCATTGTTGACTACATTTACAGAAAAATTTAAATTAAATAAGCGAGTGATATTTTGTTACTTAATAAGGTACTCTGAAATGTATGGTTGTGTATGTATAATAGAAGCAACAAACTAGTATTGTGACCGATGAAGTTCAGATACTTAGTGAGTGCGACTGTTCTACACTCGATGATATTGTGTATTTGTTTAGTTATATCAAGAAATGCTGAATGTGCAAGCTATGCATCATTACATGATGACTCAGAAGCTAAGTATTTCTGTACTCGTAAGGTAGCATGAAAGCCCTGAGGATCGATCACATTTGGTGTGGTGTGTGCACAGTACTGATTTATCTGGTACTGGTGTAATTCATCTACATAGTTCAACCTAGCTTTCAGTGTTTTTTCAACTGATATCAACACATAATAAAATGTATCTTTGAAAATCAATAAGTTTAAATTTAGTAATAAAAAAATTTGTTGACAGACCCAATGAATTCTGACTTTGTTTTTTGATATTTTAAACTTCAGATAGATATATTCCGTCAATTAATGATAATTTATCAAGATATCTATTTACGCCTACAGAATATTACATTAGTCGATGGATGTCTGTCACAGATCTACGTGGACAACCATTAGCTGTAAGAATAACTAGTACTGGTCAAAGTGACTCGACTCCAACTAGCTGGTCTGATCTCAGTGGTATTGAACCAATCAACGGAATAAAATGCGTTTTAGACTCGGTATATCCTATTGGACAACGTCTAAGCCAATCAGCATCCGTGTTTGAACATTCACCCACACAGTCTCGTGACATTACGCCTAATCTACATTTGCATGTGAACAATTTTAATCGTATTAGAAGAGTTAGTTCAAGATGTTTTACACGAAAACATCAATACAATACAGTATTTGGATTAGATCCTTGTTGGTCAACTTTATCTGGAAGTCAATTAAACGTTATTAACAATAATAGTGGAGTTAAATGTCAAATTGACGAAACATCACATTATGAAAATTTTTTGGAAAAACGTAGTAAACATAACGTTGAAATCGACCTTATTTATAAAGAAAGTCAAATGTGTATTCCACAAAAACAATCGAAAATTAAATCGTGTGAATTTCTAAATGAATCTATATTGTCTTGTAAATTATCAAACCGTATTAATAAATCAACCGGTGTTATCAATGATGGCTCAGAGTACAGTAATGTCATTACATCAAATCATACAATAAAACATCATCAAAGAAAGATTAAATTGTCATCTAAAAAACATTTCCTATTCAAAGAACTAGATCATATCTGTATACCATCAAAAAAGTTTATAAAACTATTTAAATTCAAACGTAAAAAAGATGCTCATTCTATTAGTGAGAAATTTGGAACACAGTCACAATTAGAACTAGCTAAATCTGTAAAAACCTTATATGATGTTGGACAAAGTTTACTTGAACATTCAGGAGATAGTGTAAGTAATCTGCACATACTTGAAATTCAACAACAACAACAACAACCATCATGTTCATACAGTACTACTGATAAGTTTAATCTAAGTTGTTTAAGTATCCACGTAGATGTGGAGGAACAACCTGTCAAAGATACAAATAATGATGATATTTATCATCAGTTGCAATGTTTACAAGTCACACCGACTCAGTCAGCGGACTTCTCTGACTCTGGATTATGGAGTATGAGTCAAATGGCTACTGAAGATTGTACTAATTCACTACAACAACATCTCATATCATGTTCAGAGAGTCCAGTATTCGATTATTGCACTAATAGTAACAATAATGATTATAATAATAGTGATCAAACAAATAAGATACGATTACAGAAATCAATCACAAGTCCAATAAATGCACCAAAGTTTGCAGAGATAAGACTATCACCATGGTCATCGTTAAAAATAGGAGATGGTCAACGGAGTAAAGAATTCAAATTAGAAAAATCAAATCAACCTACTGATGCTACTACTACTACTAATAATAATAATAATACCAATACTACAACTAATATATCAAATGAACATGGATTAACTTGTATTCCTTTGAACCAAAAAGCCAGTGTGCAAAGTGATACATTTTTTATTATTAAACTGTAATTCTGAACAATTCGTTGAAGATCAACTATCAAATCCTTCAGTTAGTAATATAAACGAACTTAGAACAAGTGAAGCTTTAAAATTATGTAATAATGATAATAATGAAAATGTAACTCACAACTTTAGTGGTCCTGTGAAAAGCCAAATGTCTTGTACACTGAATTTGAAGCCTTTTAGTTCAAATTCAACCTCTTTCGAAGAGAGTAAAAATGATAATGAATCATTACACTCTCGTATTTCGAAATCAAAACAAAATTCTCCTCAAGAAAATTATGTGTCGTCAATTTATCTTTCGAAAACACATAATAATAATAGTGACAACGCATCCGCTAAAGATTTTACACAACTTTCGACTTTTCAACAAAATTCATTAATTTCGCGAATTGTGCAAAATAACAGTATGTTGTCAGAGTGTAGTTTACCTTATAGAATATCTACAACATGTGATATAATTCAGATATTCCCTACTACAAAAATATATGATATAAATAATAAATCTGAAAATAATTTATCCACTGTGAAAGTTACTGATTATAAACGATCTATCAGTACTTATTTAATAAACAAGAATGATAGTTTGAATGTGGATCCTCTTCAAATAAATCAAGATATCAAAGGGATTATGATATACCCTACATTAGAACAACAAAATCCCTACTCTAATGAATCAACTCCACTGAATACAGATCAAATAATGATGATCAATTCACAAATAGACATTAACGTTAACTCTTCCAAGAACTTATCATTAATTAGTGTAGAATGTGAGAATAATTCGACATTTGATTCAGATATTAGACAAAATATGAATCCCTGCGTTATAAACAACATACAAACTTTAAAAAAGTCGTTGATGGAGTCAGAATGTACAACTCACTTGCCAATGTCATTGAGTACTGATACATCTGAAAATAACCATTATTTAAATAAAATTTTCATTCAGTCACTGGACAATAATGCGGAAAACCCTGAATATCTTAACGTTGTTACTGACCATCAAACTAATCAATTACAATTTACAAATAAATGTTTGCCAAAGCAGCCCAATGAACAATTGACAACGACGCGAATTATTGAGGATATCACAGAATTATCGTCCAATCAAGTTTCTACATTATTCAAACAACAAAAGAGGGATCCATTAATTATTCTTGATCATGCACATGATGTACACATAGCTGAACGATTGAGTGTCGGTTCACTTAATGGGTCCATCAGTGATCAATTAGCGAATGATCAATCAGTGCCGTCAACCCAGGTGAAACAAATCTTTTCATCAATTTCGAAACATCACATGAAGATATGAAACCATTATATTTGAAATCAGTTTTGAATAATGCTCGAACCTTTAAGGATAATTATTTGTTGGATAATTCATGTCAAAATTGGACGATGGCGTTATCAAATGAGCTTACCAATAAGATAGATGATTCATCGGAAACGAAATATGACTTTGATCAACTAACCAAAGGAATCTCAAATGACAGCGAAAAACTGTCCACTGATCTTGAAATCAACAAATTACCAACCGAGAAAAAAGTTTCTTCAGACGAAATAAGTCAGTCGTTGACAATTTTACAACCCCATGATGAAAACGTAGAGGTTTCATGCAATAAGTTTCATACACCTACTAAATGTCACAACAAAAAGTTTTCCTTGAACGAGAAGGATATTTCCATTGACGTCAGCTCGGCCAAAGGTGACCATTTACAAGATCCACATGATGAACTGACTAATAGTGAGCAACCCTTTGTGACTAGTACCGCTGAATCGATATCTTCAAATGTTAATGCATATTATACGGATGGAACGAATTTCTACGTTACTGAACCGTTATGTGAGAATACCACAATCGATTTGAAAAACTTAACTCAGTCAGTAAGAAAATTATCAACTAGCTCTGATAGTCTCAATAATAATGTACTGGATATCGACGCTCAGTTCAGTAAAGTCATTAAAACAGAGAATGATCCTATTGACTCTCCAGTTAAGGATGTTTTGCAAAAGTGTTCATTAGAGGACATGAACACTTTGCCAACTATAATTGACACAGTATGTTCTTCATCCATACAAGTTCCATTATTAATCAAAAATAAGCCTGTAAATTGTTTAATTAGCAATATCATATTAAATGAAGACAGTTTAACTGCAGAAATAAAATTATTAACCACACCAAATGAATTGCTGAGTGATTACACAATTACTGACTATCCACTTGAAGAGAAGAATACATCGAGTCTGTTGTCGTCCTCAAACACAAATAACTATTCTAGACTGAAGATGGATCATGAAACTAAGAATCATTTCAAAAAGCCATTTTTTTACATGCCTTTAGAAAGACAGTTTCACCATGGAGATCTTGAGAACATCACTGCACCCAGCATAAAAAGACATAATGACGGCTTACAAACTACTAGTAATGATTTCGTTCCACCGAAAAATTCAGGTGAATTCCATGAGTTAGGACAAACTATTGAAGACACTCCAGATTATAATGATAACGAATCTTATCCAAATATATTGACCTCGTCTGATAATCCCATGACAATAGAACTTATTACAACTACAGGTACTACCGTTGCTCAATCTTCAAACCAATCTACCACAAATTCAAGTTCATTATCAAATGTAAATGATAATCTTGAGAATAATACTTTAACAGAACACTCTTCATTATTTCCCATTGATTCAGTAAAACAGTTTAACGTTTTGAAAATATCAATACCAGATAATACAGACAGTTCAATATTCGAAAAATCTGTCAGTATGATTCATAAGGAAACTAGAGATAATGCTGGACAATTGATTAGTCTGCTCGAAAAGGATACAAAATCTACTAATCAGCTAGATTTAACATCCAAGGATGTATTTATCGAAAATAAACTTACATGTACAGTTCCATTGATTGCATCTCATCATGAAGAGGACTGTCATCAACCACGTAGCATCAACTTGTCTGATAAAACTGTTAACTTACTAGGATTTGATGACTCTTTCTTGACTGGATTACTACAAGCAACTGATGAAGATTTGCTTTGGACCAAAACTAAACATTTGCAGTATCCACATGACCAGAGAACTAATAGTGAACAGTCATTTATGAATGCTACCGCCGCATCATTATCTTCAAATGTAAACAAATATTGTTCGGACGGAACGAGTCTCAGTGTTATCGAGCCTCTAAGTGAAAATTGCTCAATCGATGTAAAGAAATTAATTCAACCTATTCATAATAATAATACATTCAATACTGACACTCGATCCGAGTTTACTAGTCAGTTAGATGTGACATATAAAGATGAATTTATTGAAGATAACCATGCATGTACAATTTTATTGATCACAGCTTATAAAGAAGAGGACTATGGTCCGATGTATGGTATCAATTCGCCTTCAAAAGCTGTTGATTCATTAGGAATTGAAAACTCTTCATTATCTAGATTACTTGAAAGAAATGCTGACAACGATAACGATTATATGGCTAGTGATGCTACTACTACTTCATGTGTTGCTCCTAATGATGACACCGTACCACATGATTTAACTATATCTCCTACATTTACCGATAAAACAAATATATTATTATCTATTGATATTTCAGATAATACTGAACTTAAGTTTAACAACAGTTTATCTACACTACCATCTAGTCGAGATAGTGAACATTCAGTGAATAATTCACTAAATAATTCCTTGGAGTTAAATTTCAGGTCAACAATAAATAAACTGAATTCTTTAATGCAATATGAATATGAGTTTACCGATGACAATAATAATTATTGGATTGACCCTGGTAGTTTAAACGAAGATGTTGAAACTATAGCACAACCAATGAGATCGATTGCAATTGAAAACTCTTTAGAACAGCTGGAAAGTACATTGAGTATTTATAATACACCATCACAACAGTTATCAGTAGTACCAACAACAGAAGCAAAAACAACAACAACATTAACAACAATACGAAATCCGGTTCATCCAATCAATGAGATTTATATTGATGAAGACTATATTACTCATTTATCATTAGATGATAAAATACTAAAGGTATTCTGGGACCTAAGGTAGGTATACAATACTGTACTGTATCACACTACAAACTTAGCAGTAACCAGTATTATGTATTATAATCTACATTAAAAACTAACTGTGGTTTGAAAACCAATAAAAACTCTGAAAGCACTAGACTACTAATTCGTCCTATTATGTGGGACGCTTGAGTAGTAAACATTCACTACCCCATAAACGATCAAACCTGAATCCTCTAGGTTTCGTGACCAACGCCTAGAATCTAGGCTACGGAGTCAGAATCTATTAATTTCAAATTTTAATTTCGATTAATTTGCGATGTTACACAACTATCCTTTAATCTCACTGTTGGTCACAGTTTTTCGCTAGGACTTCAAAAACTACCATTCAAAATTAGTTACCAGTACAAAAGTCAATCATATCGAGTGAGAAGCCGTTACGCACTCATAATATTGGCAGATGGTCTCCCAGTATCATTAATGAATTAAAGTTAAACTACCACATCAGTAGATCTCGCCCAATGATCTTGACGTGTTCGCATGGGACACCGAAGTTCCTGGATTAGATTCTCGGTCTCGGGTGGTGAATATACACTCATGAGAAGTTCAGTACTAGGACTAAATGGCTACCCGGTGCTTCGGGATTTTCGATAGTTATCTAGCTTAGTTTGGTCGTGATCTCAATAAAATTATCAAATTAGTTAGAGGATAGCACTTATGTTTCAACACTGATGTTATTTTCTCGCAAATCGTGTTTGTCTCATTTATCTGATAATCGATCCATCAATGTAAGTCATTATTGTTTGCTCAGATTAATGTATACATAGATAAGAAACAAACCATTAAAGTTTTATTAAAATGAATTCCAATATTCACATTGATTATCGTCTGTGTATGTGGAAATGAAGGTATTTATTTATTTTGTAGTTATATTATTCAGAAAAAACACTTCAGCAGTAATAACGATAATATAACTTTTCAATCACTTTTTCATCATTGTCTCTATATCAATTTATATATTGAATTTATAGTGACAAACCAATACTAGTCGAGTGGTTGTGCTACATAATAATGTTATCATTTCACAATTTATTATGAAAATTTTATCGAATGCATAACTAAGTGATTGAAAGAGGGAAGATAAGATAGTTATAGAGATTACAGTAATTACTTGTGAAAAAAATCTTCTTAGTAAGAATGGATATCCCATAAAACTCATTAGTATGCACAATAATGCGACAAAAATAAAACCGATGGTAATAATTACTCCAAAGAAGATACTTTTCTCAAAGTTACAGTTTAAAACGATACAGCCAGTGGGATGCTAACATAAAAGCTAAGAGAAGCTGTGCAAGAAACACATACTGCACCCAAGCTGTATGCCTTTTTTACAATCGTTGGATGACAAGCACCAACAACAAAGACAGACTGCTTGAATTCGCCACATCGATATACTTTTAACAGTTTGACTGTTCCTGTGGAGTTAGTTGATAGGGTATACATCGCACTGTAAAATACCATCCAGACGGGTTAATCAAAGGACAGCTAAAGTTTATTGAGAGATCTATCCTCATTCACTTGGTTAAGACAGAACATATGGATTTTAATGAGGCTTCCAAAGTTATCCACAGATTTTCATAAAATTTGCCCCATCTTTTACGCAATAGTCCTTTGCACACCTCAGAAGCTATCTATGTTCTCATCCAGAAGCCTGACTTATGTAACCAAGAGAAGTTTGTAGGTTACCTATTTCAGATTTGACTATTGACTGAGATCAAACAAAAGTGAGTAAATCCACTTTCACTGGCTTTCCACGTTTCCACCACTTTTGTGTCCATACATCATCCTAATGTTTGTCTCCATTCTTTTTCAACTCTCAATAAATTTACTTTCCATCAAAGTATTTTGTTAATTATTATGTATTATGTAATCTGACAACTGTTGATCTACATATTTTCAGTTTTTACAAATGATTACTGAAATTGAGTAAGTCCTCCTTCTTTCAGTCACTGAGTTGTTTATTTGACATTATTTTTGCAATCACTTGCGGAATGATAGCATTTCTGAGTAGCACTACTACCCAACTAGTATTATTTTATTATTATTAGCATAGGGGATTTGTGAAGACTGTACAATCTTCATAGATTTTATGTCACGGAGTGACCTCAGTCAAACCACCACCAAACACCTGGAAGCATTCAACAGCCTCGGCAATCCATATCCACAACCCCAAAGCCAGGAATCCAATTCAGGACTTTTGTTCCCAAACAAGAACGCTTAACCTTAAGACCACTGAGCCGGCATCCAGTGGTATACATATCTAACTTCAATCAGTTCTTGATATTGAGCGATCATCATCTTTTGTTATCTGTGAGTAACTGTCTATGATGTAGTTCCTGGAGTTCTGGTGAGAAGCTTTAACCAGGAGAGTCCAATCCGTGTCGGGTTTGATAAATGTATCCAGAGCAGGTTATGGAGGATGATCACACAATATTGACTGAAGTTAGATATGTACATTATTGGGTGTTGGCTCAGAGGTCTTGAGGTTAATCGTTTACGTGTCAGACAGAAGGTCTTTAGTTCGATTCCTGAATGCAGGGTTAGGGATGGGTAATCCTAGAGAGTCCCATGCTAGAATGAAGACACTTTTGCATGCCTTCTAGTTTTCAATGCCACCGTACTTAGGATCAATGTGTGACCAATACGACCCATATAAACAAACTTTTGTCTTCAAAGTTACAGATTTTAGTGTTGGTTGTTTTATTCACCTGGCTTTTTCTTTCTTAAAAAACAGATTGATAAAAATAATGAAGAACACAAATCAAATCAACGTTTTAAATTCACTTCAGGAGCTTACAATCTTTTTACTTCAGTTTTCAATTTGGGTAAGTTTGGTTGCTAGAGTTTAATAAAATTTCTATTATTCCTATATGGTAATCTGTTTTTTTGACATTGTCAACCTATGAAATCGGATCCAAATGTGTAAAAGTTGTGTTCACCCTCTGTTTCCGTCTAATTTTTTTCGGATATTTCGGACAGTAGTCTTCTTTTCTTTAAGTGTATATCTCATATTTAAATTTAGTCTTTAGTTCAAACCGATTCCTCTCTTGTTGTAACAGTGTTAGTGTTATGAGTGGGATGTCAGTCAATATCTTGAGAAGTGATTCGCTAATTTAGAATCCTGTAACATTTCTCTAACCCACGTACACTGTTTCGGCTATCACCTGGCATCCTAAGCTTTGACCATTTATACTCTCCGATTGACGAGGTTAAGCTTGAGTTTGATAATAATCTTAACTCTTATTAGTCTAGAACGGTTGTCTTGGTTCCAGCCTAGTCTGAGTCCTGATAGCCACTTGCTTGTGCAATGGGATGAATTTCAATTCACTTGGTATTGTTCGGTTTGTATCTTCCCATTGAGGTTTAAGACTGCAATTGATCAGTCTTTTATTGGCATATGTGCGTACTGTGCGTATGCCTCGATATTACCTTAATTCACAAGCTATTTGTAAGCAATGATGGATAATGGTTAGCAATGTAACTCAGTTTGATGCGCGTTTCGTCCTATTTGGGACTCGTGAGTTGGATGCACCTGCATCCCAGAGTTGATGTTCATTCCGGGACTCGGGACTCGAACCCAATACCATTTGCTTCAAATGCCATCGTGTTATCCACTTAGATGTCATTTAGTCAATGAATTTAACTAACTAATAAAACGTCTTGGACTATCTATATCTAATTGTGTTCTATCAATTTATAAATATTTTCTTATGCTAATTAACATAAAGCATTAAAATGGATAATCATCACATTAAAAAATCACTGTGCATAAAAAGAAAATAATCATTAAAATTTCATATCTAGGGAAATAATCATTGATTAGTTCAATATGTGAATAAAATAAGTACATAAATAGTTAAATTTTAAACAAAAGATAAAAGAAGAATGTTGTTTTTGTTCGTTTGTTTTAAATCATATAGACAAGCTAATAAAGTGCATCTGAACAACGTAGTCAAATGGATAACAGGGCCAATCAATGATTGACTGCATTCTTATTTTCTCTTGATTGGGACAGTGTAGTTGAAGTTTGAATTTCAATGCAGATTTCAGTTGAAATTTAAACTAACTATCCTTATACATAGGATTATTGATGATCAAGAAGTGGTGGGTAGCTTTTGCATTCAAGCAGTTCATCTCCTTGACTCTATGCAGAATCATGATGAAACTTAACTCTATAAGACATGCAGCAAATTGAGGATAGTATATTTCAAAGAGTACTTGAGATTGAGAAGAATTTCCCAAAACGTTTCTTTTGACAAGCTATGACTCATGCAGTTAACCAAACCCTGAGTTTACCTTATATGAATGTATGGGTTTATGTTACAAAAAAGTCCAAGAGTAGGGTGAAACATCTCTTTATTGAGCGGTCTTCCAAGATTCTCAATCAATCTTGACGATAAATACCGTTGAATTGATCAAATTTACACAAACTACCTAATAAGATAAACTTTATAATCAGTCTTTCATAAAGTATGTACTGTCTTTTGTTTTGATAGTTGATCATTTAGCTGTTTGATTACTGGTATTTTTTTCATGAATGACGTTTCAAAATAATTCAATGAGTAACAAACATTTAAAATAAAGAACGTCACATTCAATATTTCAGCCCGCTTGGTAGCTTATTAATTATAAAGTACGTGAGATATCTCTCGGTCAGCCGAAGGATAGGTATTCTGAGCAGCAGTTTGTTCTATTCTACATTATGTGAGTTAAGCTTGACCTTTAAAAAAGGATGTTCATAGGTTGCTAATACTCGATCACAGGTGTCTTCGAAGCTTTGTTTGAGTACACTAGGACCAGTGAGTGAGAAATGTTAAAGTCATGTATAGGATGCCAGGCAAAAATGACAAGTCGGTTGATGAGGTAGTGGTTTTTCATCGACTAGGTTGGTTGAGACATGTATTACGCACGTCCAACCACTAGCTACTTCAACGCGTGATGTTCGGTGCTACAGGAGTAGGTTAGAAAAAAGCAAGGGGTGGGTGAATCAAAACGTGGCATTAGTCTATGCAGTCATTGACTACTAGTTTTAGTCGTGTTGGTAGGTTACATTATATGACTTGTGAAAAAATTTTGTTCTTGGGCTTTTTTTCCTCCTATGGTGTTAAATAGTTGATGATGGAATCAAGATATCTAATATCCTGAAGTATTAGAAATTAACAGTGAATTAATTTTAGGTAAACGACTAAAAATCAACCACGTTACAGCGGTTACGCTTGTTCGTTATGTTTATTATTTCTCAACGCTTTATTTAATTTGCTCCTCCTCTCGTCTATCGATGAGTTCATTTCCAATGGTATCAATACACGAACACCAATTAGCAGTAAAATGACACTTCCTGTTATTAATTAAATTAATTAATCTTATGAATACAAATTCGACCACTGAAATTCCAAAATTCTGGATCCCGAAGGTTCGGAAAGTTCCAGTAAATTTCTGGAAACTTGATATTTAGGCGAATTTCCAGTTAATAGACATGTCAATATGAATGCCATTTAATGATAAACGTGCAAAGTATCAACCAATTACTTGACCAGAGGTCAGCTGAACAAAGCAGTCAACAAGAATCTTAAAACAAACGAAGTAAGTAAGACATTCGACGATAGCTATTTACAGAAAAGATCATTACAAAAGGTTGATTCCTTATTTCTATATGAAGTGCTGATGACGGTATCCTGAACTCCAGTGAAGTCGTTGCAATAGAAAGCATCTACCTGAACTGAAAATCCACATAATTTATAGTACTCTGTCCATACATTGTTGTGAAATGTATGACACTTTGAATAGATGCAGGTTTGCAAAAGATTTTATGTTGTAATAACTACTTATCATTTAAATGACAAGACTATGGAGTTTCATTAGGTTATAAGGTTAAGTTTTATTCATTCACTAACTGCTTACGTTAGTCTATAATGCTGATACGTATAACAATAAAGTCAAACAGATCATGATATTTAGGTGAGTCAGTAAATGCATAAATTTTGGTATAGAACTTTAGAACATGTATAAACTTCATGATTATGGATTTATAGATTAATACATATCTGAAGTATCTCTAAAAACCAATCCAACTAAAGTATATCTACTTTTATTAGTCCAATAATACTTATTTCATAGTCGTAATTCATGTTCAAATTTATAATGTAAATATATTTGAGTTCGATTTGAATCATTTCTTCAACCATTTAATCCCATAATTGAGCAAATATTTTTATTAACGGTTTATATAAACTCGAATGTTACACCAGGCAAACAGTACACATAAAATTTTATGTTTTTAATCAGTATACTGATTTACATTATTTGTTGATGATACAAACAGTTGCTGATATAATCGTGAGAGCTAACAACTTTCACTTTGTTAGTGAGATATTGAGTGCAACTGTGTACAGTATTTTACTAGTGTGCTGTAATCAAGAATCGTTTTCCAAGTTACTATCTATTATACTGATTGTAGATTTATATCTATTATTTGAGATTTAAATTTCAACTTTTTAATATCCACACATGAATATTCTCGTTCACAATAGAGCAAATTTTCTCTTATCAATGAAGAATAGAATTGAGTCAATGTTGCATATTTGAAGTGTTCACTTAGATTGTTTTTAGCTTGTAGATTCATTAGTTCCATTCGAAGAACCATGACTAGCTACTATGATGGCAAGAGCAAAATTAAACCATGGTTGAAATGTGTTTTAATCTCAAAAAAAACTTTAAAAATTCATTCATGAGCGCTAGAACCCATTAACTACATTTGCCTTGAAAGGCATCATGAAAAAATGTTTGCGTTTTTGTTGTCGAAAAATGCAGCATTATTGGTTTTCTAAAGTTATTACAGGATACAACAAACTGAATTTGATTTCAAACACCATTTTCTAAATTTTGAATAACAAATCCATGAATAAATTTTAAATAATTTCATTTTTATAATCAGAGAGGGCTTTTATGGATATTATAGTAATTTAGTAGTTGAATTCATGAATCAATTGAAGCCAGACCACCATGGAAAACCTGGAAGCACTGGACGGCCGTCGGATACTGTCTCAGTAGTCTAGAGGTTAAGCGCTCGTGCGCGAGAGTGATAGGTCCTGGGTTCGAATCTCGCAGGGCGGGATTGTGGATGCGCACTGCTGAGGAGTCCAACAACAGAACGAAACGGCCGTCCAGTGCTTCCAGGTTTCCCATGATGATTTATCTTCAATTCACCCATGAATTCAACTACTAAATTTCATTTCTCATAGTTCCAAATAATCTTATTGTTCGTATGTAATCCACTGATCGTTGTTCGTCCAACTCTAACATAACTGATGGATTTCATACACATAGTTCCCTTTATTATTTTAAAGAGAGTAAGAACAAAGATTGGTGCAGAATAATATGAATTCATTTTATTTCGTTAGGTTCTCATCAGCTGCTTACAACCTAAAATATTTGAAATTCAACGTTATTATAGATATTGACATAATTATACAACAGAGGGCGATGAAGGAAGAATATATGTAACATAATGTGGTAAAGATTTCATTAGAGTTAATGAGGTCATAAAATTTTGTTTCGAATATATAGAGTTTGGGAGGGAAGGTTCCAGAAAATTGAAATAGTGATTAGAAATCATGGAATTAAAACACGTTAGACGATTATGTAATGAAGTAACTGAAGATAGATTAATGTTAATAAAGAGAGGTATGAATTGAAATTGGTCAGTTATGAATGATGTAATTACAAAAATTCAGAAAGAGTTGAAATGACGTAATAAAAATAAATAAAATAAAAGGGGTGGGGTGAATGTTACCAGGGCGAAGAAAGATTTATTACTGTTTCTTTT